ACATCTGCCTTCCTGCAGTCCGAACCGAATGCGACAAATTTCAGCATTTAGCCACAGCCGGGCCAGTGATTGGAAGTGCTGCTGCTGAATCAAAGCAGACCCCGGGGGTATCGTATCAAAGGCGGAGAGGCCCGAGGATGGTAGGATGACCCTCTTTGCATCTTTAGTTTTTCCCATTTCCATGTTAGCGTGCTTTCGATCCTACAAGCCTGGCTCAATTTGCATATCATCACTGGAAGCATCGAAGACGCATCGAAGGAGTGGGACGTGGCTGAGCTGAAAGTGGCTGTTGGCTTGAGACGAGAGCGGGGAATGTCTTGAGACGTGTCAGTCGCTGTGATGGGCATTATTTTTTTGTGGTGGATAGTATCATTTTGACATGCACTGCCATGCTTCAAATGTAGATGCCTACCAGCGTGCATGCGTCCAAGCGGGGTGCTTCTTTTCCAGTGTTGCCTAGTTTGGTCAAGGGGACCTCATCGCAAAGATGTACAGTCGGCCGGGTACATTGTCGCAATGGCTGTACCTTTGGTGTTCGTGTCCAATAGGTAACGAGAGAGAATGGTCATTTCTAGCAAGTCACAATCACAATTGTGTGATATGACCAGGGAAGAGTGCAGTATATCTCGAAGAATCCGAAACTAAGGTGATGGAACAATTCTGGCTCCAGTGAGGCGCAACGGTTCCATCCCCCTGGGTCGGTATAATTAGCTTGTAAGATTGAAATATTGGAGTATTTCGTGGAGTCTCCGTACACGCTAGGTGACTCTAGGTAGCTGCTAGGATGTTTCGAATAAGTGCTATAAAATAGGCCATTAACATTTGAAATGTCAAAGCGGGATAATTGTTATAGTAGTATGGATACTATAAGGGGGGAGAAGATATTGCCCTGGATGGAGATGGCAAGCCCCTTCCGTTCTCTCCTGAAGATCAGACCCATAACTCAGTTTTCTCCCTTCTTTTTTTTTTTGTCTCGTCAATTAAGCAATATACCCCTGAGACACCCTCCATGGCCTTCTCAGATCCCGACTAGCTTGCGCTATAACAAGCCTCTTATTGCTTCCAAGTTTCCAGTGTTCCTCGGAACATTCGATTACCTGACAGTAATACCGTTTTAGTATTAGAACTGGTAATACCGTAACTGGAATCTCGTTCTTTTCATCTCGCGTCTTCATGATGTCATCACAATGCCTAGTTAGAGTATTCTATTAAGACAAGTTGGAATAGTGCAGGGTATATCATCATCTAGTTAATTTATGATATCTGCTATAATATAAGAGAAGTAAGTTTAACGTTGGCAAAGAAGTATTTTTACTTTTTTTTTACTTTTTTTACTTATTTTACTTATTTTACTTAATCCAATGGATGTTAAGGAAATGGCCCCGGGGAGTATTCAAACGCAATCAATCAAACCCCACAGAATCGCAAAGAGAACAAAGAGCATCGAGAGTTTTTTTTTTCGCCGAAGGTTTCATCCCATAGGGGAACCCACCGTAAAAAGCGGGGTGTCGTCATTTAGGGCTGTTGATCGTAGAAGCGGATGCGAGATTGACTGGTATTGTGTACGCATATGGAGTTCTGACTCACCTGCCTCTCTAGGCAATATGGCGCCATTCACTTCTTCAATTTTCCGGTATAAGAGAGGCTCAATAATAATGACGTTCTCTATGTTACGTTCATTGTACCAGTAATTTTGGCCTTCCAGAAGGGAACGTTGGAAGTATTGAGAACATCCCCCTGGTCACAATACACTAGCTTACACGGAATACTCCGTACATTATACTGTCAAGTGGACCCAAAGCCAATGGAAGAACCTAAGAATCTTGGAAGGAAAAATTGTAAGACATCTTCTATACCCAATCCTTTGGCGTCTTTTGCCTAGGAGCTGTGAGGTCTGAACTAGAGGATGATTGGGTGAAAATTTCAAAATGAGACAGCCTTGTCCCCGCCAAGATTAATAAAATGTCCAAAACAAGCGCCCAATAATTTCAAAGAACTGATCATGTATCGAATCCACTAGATTACCACCTATCCTCCAAATCGATTACAAGTTGCAGGTCGCACGTCAGAGCTGAGAAAGCATATCAGTGATAGCGTGGCATGATAACGTGGCATGATAGCCCCCGGGTCCGGGTTCTTCACAATGTACAGTACCGAGTACAATGTAGGCAAATGGGATTTGATAACCAACTCCCCCTCTTCATCCCGTCTGCATACCCTAGTCTAATCCTGGTGGAGATCGCTCACTGGCTAGTTGAAGTATGGATCACTCGAGGCACAGTGATTAGCGGTCAGGATGTTTTGAGAAATAATCGTGTTGCTGTCATGGGAGAAGAGTGGCTGTTACCAACCCGCAGATCCTTGCTTCAGCCACCGCTCTTTGTCTTTACCTCGTTGCTGAGTGGGGTATATTGGGGCTAGGGCACGAGAAACATCAATTATAATAAGAATAAATCAGGAACTAAATGATGTCTTTGATAACGCGTTTTAATATATATATATATATATAATCGAATAATAATAGAAATTATTTTGATGTCCCTGCAAGTTTTAATCTATTTGTTGATATCGTCTTGGGGAACCGAGGGTACTCTTGTCCCGCCACAACCGCCCTGCACGATATCACGTTGATAACGTTGATAGCGCACGGAGGATGAATAGGAGACATGGTCAGCGCTGGATCAGTAGTTTTGGAGACATACGAATCATCTGATTCTACGAGAAGTTGATTATACGATATGTGCATCGGAAAAACAAAGGAAATCCAACACGAAATGAAAAAGCAAAAAGGGACGTCCATTTCCATTTTGGGATATTCCTACCTGCCAACCGCCTTTTCCCGATATTGCACATGGAAACAGCAAGGAGAGGGCCATTCCAAATAAGTTGCGAAGATACGCGAGGATCCCAGGTTTCCGAGGATGTATCTAATCGCTAACTAGAAGGGAAATACCGCCTGAGGTCTGAACAAGATCCTTGTCAGGAGTTGCTAGGTTGATGCGGCTGTCAGGACCGGAAGAGGCTAATTATCGCCCTTGAACGCTAAATTCATTCAACGGCCTACCTGGGTGACATGCAGGAGCACAGGATCAAGAGAGAGCAGCCTTTGTGAGGGGGCTTCAGTTTTCTTTTCTCCGGCTGTTGCGGCAGAGATAGAATCGAGCAAATGGTGAAGCACGGCATCGCCAGCTCATCTAACGGCTGCGGGGTCAACCCCGCAGGTGCTCCTGTGCGCATTGTGGCTGATCACATTCCGCACTTTGTATCACTGCCTTGACAGGTACAAGCCGAGCTGAGAGCTAACTCAAAAAACAAGAGCTAACTATGGAGTCATAATACTAAGCCACGGGAAGTGCGGGCCTTGTAGGGCGGAACGGATAAAATAGACATTTCAAACGAGTTATTTTTCGGAGTGTTCATGAGAAAACAGCGAAGTCGCCGATCTGTTTTTATTTTTGATAGTCCACACTCCCACACCTGCCACAACCAGCCTCACCGGTTCAGGGATTCGATCTCAATATTTCCGTGCTATAGATGACGGTGTGCCATAACGTACACAGACCCTAGACAGTAGTGAATTTTACGGTGTACACTGTACATACCACCCCACCAAGGTGTCGAATAGGAGGAAATGATGATGTGCGTCGCGATCGACTCACTCTTTTTTGTGTCAAGGCTTGGGCACAGATAGGCGCCTGACCAGTCAACAATGCACACAAGCACAAGGAAATACAAGAAAAACGCAACATTAGATAAGACCGTGTATCACAGGGAGAAGGGAAAAGTCTAATCAATCTCGCGATCAAAACGCAGGAATCCGAAGGCTCCGCATGTCTTCCCCGGGACCGCTCTGTCGGTGCTAGGGAAATTCCAACTGATGTAATACAGGTAAAGAATGACCCGTTACACTCTAACAGGTAATCTCAAAAAGATTTAGTTCAAGCAGGCGATGTGGGGGAACTGGAGCCCGGCGGTGTCTCGGGCTATAGAAGTCTGAATGAAATAGACTGCTATTCTTGTATCCACCATAATCCATAATCTCTCGGGAGATTTATTATTATTAAATATGAGTTCTGAATAGAGGGGAATGGTTCTCCCCCTTTTCACCTCGTGAAAGATTCAGGAGAGTCCGTCATAGGTAGATTGTAGTTGGGGAATTATAATTCCACATCCTTTTAGGGCTCCTTGAAACACAAGATCGTCCCCGTTTGGCCGGTAACATTCCCCAGGAATTCCAAGGATCGTCCAATGATACCGAACAACGGGTTTCCGTCTGGCAATCATTCCATATCGTCATCTCGTGGTAGGCAGCTCTGTATTTTGATAGGCACTTGGGTATTGAAGTAGTACCTAACTGTAGCATGCCTGAAGGAAATGAGCAATTGCTTGTTAGTATTTAATAATTTCAAGCGCCCTCCTTTTTTTTTTTCATGCTAGAGAATTCTTTGTTGCGTTTTTCTTTTTTTTTTCCCCTTTGAGATCTCAGCCTCATTCCCACTGATTGTGGCTCATATATACACTGGTGAGTCTGGAGATATTTTTGCCCTGACTAGCTCCTACATTCTCTCCCACATCTACCTCACTAGTATATCTGCGGTCACGATTTGAATTCGACCTGTCTTTTGATACCTATTAATCCTTGAACAGAAAAAGCAGAGAGAGAAAAAAAAAGAGATCAAAATTACGACATACCTCGACTTACGAGACAGTATATTACTACCGTTACCGAACAATACGAATATTCAGTACAGCGTTTCCCATACCGCATGCTACGTCTATCGTAAGTACCCAGTACCCACTGCAGCTTCAATTCGCGCGGAATTGGGGATTCATTGATTTAATTATTTTTCTTTTTTTTGCCCCCCCTTCAACCGAACTCTTCTTCAATAACCTCCTTCTCCTTGAAACCAAAGAAAAGTCTGTACTCATACGATAAGGACAACGCAGGTCTTCTCCCTCTGGTATGATCAGAACTTCCGCGGTTCAACTCCCATACGAACTTAGTGGCCACCACGTAACCGTGCAGCAAACTGGATCAGCTCGCAGTGATCCTCAAAAACGGCACTAAAGAATCCAACATCAGCGAGCTCCCCAACTCGGTGCAGTCTCCGATTGTTCGCCTTTCCCCTTTCGACCGCCTGCATCCACTGCGTTGGCAACTCTGTCGCAATACCCGATTTTCCTCGCATTCTCCTATCCTAGCTTCGTTGCGCCGGGGGAAAACACTCCCTACACTTTAGCACGGGTACTCCCTTCGTCTGCCGCATCGCTAGTCTTCAATCGCACCCAATCGCGCGCCGCCCTTGTCGGACTAGGACAATCTTTGACTCTTTTGGGCCTTTTTTTCCCCTGCTACTGTCTACTTCCGCCAGCACCCATAGCCGGTCCTTGGGGCTCTTTCCTGAACCCTGGTAACGATAGGTGCATACGCATTGCATTCGGACTTTGACTCGTTTCGGCGCACGCCCTTAAATTTCGAACCGGTTCCGCGTCCTCTTCCCCGATCCACTCGGTGATACCACGATCAATTAGTCAATATCACAACACCCCCCGCTTCCAGTGCAGAGCAGCAGCTTCCCCCACGCACCGGCAGATCGACACGCATAAGAGAGGGGTAGCATTGGTATAATTGGAAGGACATATAGAGAATCAGCCGGGTTCCAAAAGAAGCAAGACAAGACCTCACGCTCCACTTCCCTGAGGCTGGAGATCATTCCCCGGTTGATTTCGTTTGTGACGTCTATCCAAGTGGTTAGCACCGGCTGAGAATATCCCTCGTGGGAGATTGGTCATTGCACAGGGCCAGTGCCCTTTGCAATTGTTATCAGGGACTTCCTTTTTTTTTAAATCGCTCAAGTCTTCTTTTGTTGCGGTTTTTTTTCCTCCCCCGTGAGCTGCTCTCCGGAAGGGCTCTCCGCATTACACCCAATCCAGGCCAAGATGCAGCAGAGTTCAAGAACGGTGAACTTCTGCTGAGGACGTGGCTAAACGATCATTTTCTTACCGTCAGAATATTCTACTTTCTCTTTTGGCTCGGATCGCATACCAAATCCTGACAGGCGGCAGCCTTGCGAACCTTGACAGCAGGCCGGTCCCATACGCTGTTACCCATTCGTCCATTTCTGAGTCCAGGTGACTCGGACATTGGCACGGTATTTCACGGGCTCGGATTTCCCCTATCGACAGCTGAGCTGTCGTATTTGATAGCAAGTCGTCATGGCTTATGCTACGGCGTCCTCGCCGACACTGGATGCCGACACCCAATCCAACTTAAAACTTGCGACATCTCTCCCTCAACCGACCTCTCTACATCATGTTGTCACATCATTACCACCTGGCCCTCCCCATTCTTCCGCACCCTCCTTCACCTCTTCTCCGACCTCTACTCCGACCTCATCCTTCCCTGCTCCTGGCACACCCTATACTTTCACCCCTTCTAGCACCCCCCTACATCCTGCGAGCGAGGGATACTGTGGCCGATTGAATGGTCCTTCCCTGCCTACGCCAGGCCCCCTCGAACTTGGCGAGTCCATAATGGCCGTTCCGGGAAATGCAAATCCCTCTAGCTTGAATGATCCTGTGTCCACCAAGGCTCCAGGCCTAATGCGACGGATCTCGAGAGGCGCCGCCAACAAACTCACCCGTAGGAGACAGTCTACATCCCAAAACGATAAACGGGACCGAAGCACTGGTCCCATCATCATGCGCCGGCGCAGTGATAGCAAAACTGGCCCTCAACCCGTTCGAGACAGCGCTCTTGAGTCGAGCAACGAGGATGAATCCGGCGAAGCCTTGGACAACCTGGGCCCATGGGCTGGCTCGGAGGCATCTAGTCTTCGCAGCGAGAGTCGTATGAATATGACTCGCGAAGCTGGCCCCGTTCCAGCTGTTGCCGTTGCCCCCAAGATAGACTCTGCTGTCCAGCGAGGCACAGTCCTCACGAAGGTAACCAAGAAACGCAGAAAGCAAGTTCGCTTCTTTCTCGATTTAGATGCCGCCAAGGTTTTCTGGGATGTCTCCAACCCGGCCAAGCGTTTTTATATTGATGATATCAAAGAAATCCGGGTCGGTCCTGATGCTCGCAACTACCGCGAAGAACATCAGATTCCGGAAGATTTGGAGCGCCGATGGTTCACCATTGTCATTGCGGACTCTGACCGCTCGAAGGGCCGAACCGTCAAAACCTTGCACCTCATCGCTCCTAGTGACCGTATTCTTGACCTGTGGATTACCACCCTTGAGCATATCTCTCGGTACAGAATCGACCTCATGTCCGGCCTCGCAGGTTCGAGTCAAAGCGAAGCAGTTCTGCAGGCACACTGGCAGCGCGAGATGTCGAGACTCTTCCCGCAGGGTCCTCCTCCAGTAGAGGAGCAAAGTCTCGACCTCGCCGCTGTGGAGAAGGTCTGCCGCAGCCTACATATCAACTGTTCCAAGAACATGCTTCGCGCACAGTTCACTAAAGCTGACGCCGCCCATAATGGCAAGTTGGATTTCTCTGAATTCAAGGACTTCCTTTTGCGCCTGAAGGAACGAAAGGATGTCAAAGATATCTTCAAGCTTCACGCCGCAAAGCCGAAGGAAGGCATGACTCAGGGGGAGTTTTTGACTTTCCTTCACGACGTGCAAAATGAAGATGTCGAATCCGACCGTGTCTACTGGGCTGCACTGTTCGACAAATACGTTCGGCGGGCCTCTAAATCTCGCACTCCATCTGCGGAAGGATCGGAGCTTCCTCCACCTGTGTCGCGGATGAACCTGGATGCATTCGCCGCGTTCTTGTCTTCGTCCAGCAATGGGGTCTACGCTTCACGTGCCCCCCAGTCAAAATTCGACCGGCCGTTGAATGAATACTTCATCTCGAGCTCTCACAACACTTATCTCCTAGGCCGCCAAGTGGCTGGCGCATCAAGCACCGAGGCTTACGTCAGCGCGCTTCAGCAGGGATGTCGCTGTGTCGAGATCGACTGCTGGGATGGCGCAGATGGACGCCCCATCGTTTCTCACGGGCGGACTCTAACCACCAGTGTTCTCTTTGCAGATTGCATCACCGTCATCAACCGATACGCTTTCATCACATGCGACTTCCCCCTCATTCTCTCTCTTGAGGTGCACTGCAACATGGAACAGCAAGTGGCAATGGTCAAGATCATGAAGGAGACGTTCAAGGAACAGCTTATCCTTGAGCCCTTGATGACCAACTGCCATATTCTTCCGTCGCCCGAAGAGCTCAAGGGCCGCATTCTGGTCAAAGTCAAGACTTGTGACGAGACCCAGTTTGATCCCCGCGAAGATAACGTTGGCTCCGTCGGCACTCACGGCCGCAAACGCAGTGCTAGTACGCCATTTGTGCGACCGACGCTTCCTGAGATGAATACCCTGACCCTTCCTTCACTCTCCAGCCCTCCTACAATGGGTCCCGTCGACAGTATCGGCCCTTTGGTCTCGGATAGGCGCTCGCTTACTGCTACAAGCATGAGCAGTGCAACCGAGGACAGTGACGGAGCGCTAGTATCTGTTCACGCCGATAAGAAGAAGAAGCGGCGCCAGAAGAGCAAGATCACCAAGGCTCTTTCGGACTTGGGTGTCTACACTCGTGGCTACAAGTGGCATAGCTTCTCGTCTCCAGAGAGCAGACGGTACAACCACGTATACTCGTTTGCTGAGCGGTCTTTCGAAAGCATCTGTCAGAGTCACGACAACAAAGTTGCGCTGGAAGCACACAACCGCAAGTACCTCACGCGGGTATATCCTTCCGGATTCCGACTCCGTTCATCCAACTTTGATCCGAACAAGTTCTGGCGCCGTGGTGTGCAAATGGCAGCGCTCAACTGGCAAACTTACGACATCGGCATGCAAATGAACCAGGCCATGTTTGCTGCTGGAACTGATCGTTCTGGATACATCCTTAAGCCCGAGAGCCTTCGCCTCCCGGCTGTTGGTGATGGTCAGAAACGCAAGATGGAGCGCAAACTGATTCGATTCTCGGTTGACGTCATCTCCGCACAACAACTCCCCCGTCCACGCACCATCGGACAGGACGATAGCATCAACCCTTACGTCGAAATCGAGATGTTTAGTGCGGATGATCGTGGTCAGAGCTTCGTCCTCGGCGAAGGTGGTATGGATGCCTCTGCGCGCAACGGCATGTCCGGTATCGGATATCCGCACCGTCGCCGCACCAAGATCGAGCAAAGCAATGGCTACAGCCCCGTCTTCAATGATAAGTTCAAGCTGTCGCTGGAAACTAAATATCCCGATCTTGTATTTGTGCGATGGACTGTCTGGAGCTCAATGGACGGTCGCAGTGCAGGCAATAACAACAGCGTGCAGCTGGCTACTTTCACTGCCAAGCTCACCAGTCTGTCGCAAGGTTACCGCTACTTACCTCTCTACGATGCCAGCGGCGACCAGTACTTATTCTCGACGCTTTTCTGCAAGATCTCAAAGGAAGATCCCATCTCCGTTCAGCGTCTGGACCTCGAAGAGCTCCGCGCCGAGCGCATGGGTATTCTGCGCCAAATCGGTCAGACTGTCTTCAAGCGCTCCTCGTCAGCCGAGCGCGAAAGGGATCAAGCACAGGATCGCAGTGATTCTCCCCCCGATGACAAGGAATGTTCTCCTAACCTGACACCCACTGTATCAACCACAACGTCGAACTCATCATTCATGCAATGAGAGTCGCACCACGTCTTATCTCGCCCTCTCCCACGACCAGTGCAGCTTTGCGCTGATCTTTCCTCTCATCTCTCTCTCGATCTGGAATCTTGTTCCTATCAATGTCAGCATCAACCAAGGTTCCGGCGTTTGTCTTTCTACTGCATCATGTCTCACTCTTTGCTCCCATCTGTGCTTGTCTACATTGTCGGACGTTTTGCTTATTACACCATTGTCATTCATACCCATCACAGCGATACCCCCCAAGTTGCTTCAAGTTTTCTTTTTGCCATTTATCATTGGTATTGTCTTGTTCATCGTCATTGTCCTGTCATTTGTCTGCGACAAATCCGGAAACTGACCATCCGGCTATGTATTCGACTAGGAGATGTGCTTGTTTCGTCTCATCTTTTCTCCCTTCGTTTTTTTTTTCTTCTGTTTGTCTGGTCCAATATGTCTTTTATTGTCATCTTATTTCTTTTGTTGCGCTATCTGTCCGCACAGGATCTTTCGGGAATTCGGTTCTTTCAATCATCATCATCATCATCATCATCGCATTTGAGGGAGTCAATCACATCGGAGAATATATACGTGGCTGGTTCACTGGATCAACTCTTCATATCATTTTATCATCATAGCATAGGCACTTGGGATTTTTCATCTTCAGGGGGCTCTCACAGTTGATCTGTCAATTCAATATAATCTTGCACACTTGTATACCACTTCTGTTTATCATTATTCGCAGGTACAACGATTGCTTTTTACATCACAAGTTTGAAATAGTACTCTGCTGAGACCGAGCTTTCTTATACGTCGGCAATAGTTTGCCTGAGGCATTATACACGTGACCTATCTCATTACTCGATCTCATCGAGTCAGCGCCAAGGCCACTTCTATCTCCGGCTTTTTCTCCATATCGAAGCATAGATTACGACCGACCAATCACAATCCCCGATAGCTTATATTTTGTGGGGGCCAGCGGGGCCAACGTTCCTAAGCTGGAAATTCCTAGGCTATTTCTTGCCGATAACGTCGGGTGTCTGAGTTTCTTACTTGAACTCATTCGGTCAGCCATGATAGGCGTATACCGGCTCAGACCATGGTGCTCCCATGCTTGGCCGGAGACCCACAGCCAACTGCTTCCTTATCGCACTCGGGGAGAACAGGATACAATCCCGGCTATGATATCCAAGTTCCACGTGGGCAAGGTTATATCATAATGTTATCCCCCGGTCTTTGTACTCCTTTTTCTTCAACTTCCCCGCAATATCTTTGCACTTTTCTTGAGATTACTTTCCTGGCAACTGTTAGCTACAAGTCTACACATCCAATATGTCCAAGCTCAAATGGATACTTGACAAGGCGGCCGTAGAAGAAGAGACGGGACTCACCAATGCCCAGATGATGTTGATCAACAGTGATTTACGGCCAGGTAAGACTACTCAGGCTTATAGATCCCATATCCTGCCCCTATTTATCACCCTCATC